GCTGACCAGACTCTAAAGAAAAGTCCCTCTGATTTTGCAGAGATATTTGGAGAATGTGATGCTTCTCCTGAGGTAAGAATAGATGTCATTTACTGAGTTTTCTTTATTTGCATTTACAAGCTGCATTTTAACAGTAATTTATCTGCCTCAGCATCATCTTTTCACATTTATGTCTTTTATTGTTGTTGGGGTTTTTTTGTTTGCTTCTTTATTCTCATTTATTTATTTCATCCTCCTGTCCTTTTTGCTCCCTTTGTTTTTGTTTTTGTTCCTTTCCTTTTCTATATTATCTTTTCAATCGTTCTTGTTTCCTCCCCTCTTCAACCTTCTGCTTGTCTTCTTTTTAAATCCAATGGAATACATTTAAATTAAATCACGAATCAAAGTTGTTTTTTTTTTTTTTGTTTTTGTTTTTTTGCAGTTGGCTATAATCTGTCTTCAGTAGTTAGCTTGTTAAGATATCTGTACAGACAATTTTTCATTTTCTGAAAAAAACAAGTGAGGTACTACAGCCATAGTTTTAGTTTATATATTGAATATCATTATCTTCTCGTGTCTTTCTGAAACACTGCGTTGGTTTTATTTGGACTTGTGACCACGTGCTGTGGCAGTATTTTTCCCTGTGCGAGCTTTTTATTATTCATAACTGAAAATGATTTCACATATTTGTTTTATATTTATATATATACATATATATATATACATATATACTCAAATGGCATTTTTTAAATTGACTGAAAACGGGAAGATTGTACGCACACTGTTGTTTCACTTTTTTTCCTCAAGGCGTCGCTATGCGCTTATATACGTATTCCACTCCACCCTCAAACGTGTGGACGAGTAGATTGTCCGTCAGTGCATTTGCTAACAGAGATATTAGAAGAACCTAACAGCAAACATAACCGGTATATTTTGCTGCATTATCGATCTGTTGAGGGATTCGAACGGTTGGCGTTTTGTTTTTCAAACTCATAATGATGAGCCACAGGATCTTTGTGGTTTTGTTCTTATTTTCTCAATCTGTGACTGGGGACGTGTCTTATTCGATTCCAGAGGAAATGAGACCCGGATCTCACATTGGAAATATTGCAAAGGATCTTAACCTGGACCTGAACAGTCTGCCTTCCAGAAATGCCCGCATTGATGCCACGGGGAATCGAAAACGCTACTGTGACATTAACGTGAATACCGGGGATTTGGTTGTTGCGGAGAGAATTGACAGAGAGGGGCTTTGTGGAGAAAAAATGTCGTGCGTGATTAAACGCGACCTGGTGCTGGAGAATCCTCTGGAGCTGCAACCATTCAGTCTTCACATCCAAGATGTTAATGATAATTCACCACAGTTTAATGACGAAATTGTGAATATAGAAATTCGGGAGTCAGCAGTGAGAGGGGCTCGTTTTGTGATAGAAGAAGCCACGATGCGGATGTAGGGCGGAACTCAGTTCAACAGTACAGTCTGAAGAAGAATGATAATTTTGTTTTGGCTGTTGATGGAAACACAATAGAGCTCGTTCTTGACAAAGAGCTCGAT